CGTATCACAATCGACGAGCTCACCAGTGAATTTGCTCGGTATTTGAAAGCCACTTTAGTCAACAAAAGGATTGCATCTCATACCAAAGGCACCAAATTTGCACTAAAAATTAAAGTACATGAGATTTTTTTGAAAATAAATTAAGTCCAGCGGGGAGTCAATAAAAAGCCCCCTTGAATCGCATGGTGTTTTCACCCTTCTCCTTTGGTATAACAACAGCTAAGCGTTTTCTAAACTGAGAAATCTTTCCGCTCAAAAAAAAAACTGTTGTAGTCGAGAATGGGGCGCAACAAAGACCACTTAATTGGTATGCGTGAAATCCACCACGCAGAGCTTACTGTACGTCCTATTCCCCCAATGTGAATGGGTAAAGGCTGGATGGAGCATAGGCATGGACACGGCGTCACACTAGGGCTGCCCAAACGTCCTATATGTCAAAACATTCAAATATAATGGAAAGATTCAGCTTTAATTGAAGCGATAAGGAAGAGCCGCATCGGGAGAGTATACGGGCCACACGAAACAGTAGCTTGGCTGTCTAGAAGGTGAGATGTAGTGCTTTCACGATGAAAAGTGGCTGTGAGCAGTATGCGAACATTGCCATGCCCTCTAGGCGCTCCTACCACTAGTTAGTTAGTGATTTGGATGAGCTGTGTTGCCAACAGCGGCACAACTGGAGCAACTCGCCGGGGTCATGAATTGCCATAGTGCTCGTCCATACGTCTGCCGTCGTGGCTTCCAAAAATAAACGGTCAAACAGGGGTCCCGCTTTGCGTTTCAACGGACTTCTCCGCTTTTTTTCGCAATTGGCGTACCACTGAGCGCACAAACTTCCCTCTGACACTCTTCAGAACGTAATCGCTGCCTTCAATCGGACAATTCGACGACCAACTCCGCCCATCGAGAGACTCTCAAGAAAACAGCCTTTGTTGTTTCTCCTGTGCGGATGAACCCTTTGTGCTCTCAGCACTTTTCTACCAGTTCTGATTTCGAATCCTTTTGCCATTTATTTTTCCTAATGAGAAGTCCACGAGCATGCTGCGTAAAATGAGAATTCGTCATTAACGTGCGAGAAGCGACGTGCGAAAATGGAAACGTGCTTTGATTGAGGCTTTTTCAACAGTTTCCAAAAGAAAGAGCAAATAGTATGCCTGCAAAGCACTGGCAATCGCTGATCCGTCTGAATAAACAGTCAAAACGGGGATGAATAGGTCGCTCTACCATGTCTGGGTCATAAAAGGAGAGAAGGTCTCAATCTCATTCCAAAAGTCCGTAAGCTT